ACTTGTCGCGAAGAGCCTTCCGACCCCAACCGCGGCTTTGCAAAATTCGCCCTCGATTAAAGGAACTTCAACACTTAGCTTGCAGCGGGAAAAGGAAAGCCAAAGCCAGACAGGTATGCGGGGTATAAACACTTCCCTTCTGAATATTATAAGCGCATGCTGCTGCTTAATGCTTGCGAAATGCGGAGTCCAGGCCGTACTGTGCGCTCCTCGCTCCCAACGACATTCCTCCAAGAAAACCTTATTAATGAGCTTGCAAACGAGCACCCAACTGGGAAATGTCACAAACAAGAGCGGCTAATGCCCCAGAAAATCAAATAACTGAACACTTGGCTGATTGTGGTGCTTTTCATATTTACTAAAAGAAGGGAAAAAAGCCGTAAATCAAGGTTTCTGAAGGGGTCAACACCTCGCCGAACAAAACAACTCATTTATTCCTTTTTAGAAATCTCCAGATGATAAATTACATTGATGTTAATCACTTCACTGCATACTATGCAATTAATATTTGTTCTCGATAGAAATACGAGGATTACTGGAGATGCGACAGCATACGTCTGGTTTTTAACGTAACCGGGCACAAAAAATTCTCCCACTGTGACAGCAGAGGCTGAAACACGTTCCATCGGTGCGTATTTTAAAAATACACGTGTAGATATTATACAAGTGAAAGTGCAATTAATAACAACTTCAGAAAAGCCAAAACAAAAAAAAGCAGCCCAGAGAAAATGCCAAATCAAGACTTTGACGCTTTCACTTCCAGTATCACGTAATGAGATACGGAGAAGTACCGCAAAGGCTGAACTTAAATGTCTCCGCGAATATCTGGTTCCATTCAATTCCTTAATGATATTTTAATGCATTTTGTTGCTTCATTTCCTTTCTAAAATTACACTCAACGCGCTGGTCTTCCATCCCCCATCGGGGGAACTGAATCACAAAAAGAAAGCGACCCCAGCCAGAATCAGGGCGTGTTTTCAAACCAATTCCACGCAACGTATTGCGGCCGCCCAGTGCACAGGGTTATACGTTCTCTGGCGTGGCTATTAATCAAGGACGAAGGTGTTATCGTTGCTGGGAGTACGTGGCACCATTTGTCAAGCTCTGTTTGCCTTTGAGAAGCACGACCAGGAGGGTTCCATAGGTATTACAGAGTGCTCGTTTGCAGAGATTTCTTTTTCGTAACGTAGCCGCCATTCATCTGGAAGCATTTATCTCAAAACTTCACAGAGGGCCAAGGCTGTGCCCCGTTACATACGCAACAAATAGCTTACTCCGTGAGCAGGACAAGTTATTCCTCAGCATGAATCAAGTCTTACTCGCAGTTCTGCTGACCACAGCAAAACAGTCTTTCCCCCGGTGCACGCGCTGTGAACTTGGTATTTATTTTTAAAGTTTAGGCACAGTAACAAGCGATCTATTATTTTTTGCTCGGAAATACCCAGGGAGAGGCCAGGGCAGCAGCAAGACAAACCAGGCGTAGCAGAGCCGACGACTGCCTTACTAACCCGCGGCGGAGGGTTCGGTGCCGCACGTGCACCGGGTACGCCGGTGCTGCGAGATTAAGCGTTACGACGAACCCCGCGCTTTCACCCCGTGAAGAGTCCGAACTTGCTCCGCCTGTCCCCCTCCAAGGGCACTGCCTGCTTCCTTCCTCCCGGCTGCGGAGATCTGGAACAACCCCAGCCTGGGGTGAGGAGGCCAACAGCCATTTAGAAACACCTTCCCGAAGTCATCGGGGAAACTTAAGCCACCCAAAAACCCCCAAGTCTGCAATTTTTCTTTGAAGTACAGCACAGAAGAAAATGTTCAAACAAATTGTTTTTAGAACAGAGTGAAGCAGGTCGCTTTGCAGACTTAGATCTCTGCACCTTTCTTTCCTTTTTTAGCGGAGGAGAACCTTTCAATAAAATAAATACACATTTTAGCCAACGCCTCCAAATAAGCCGAAGTACAAACGCTCCAGACTGTCAATGACGCGTAAGGTCCTCATTTACTAAAAGACATTTGACTTTAAGAAGCTTTAAGAAAATCGCCTTCAAAAGAGGAAAGGTAAACGTTTTGAAGGGAGAACGGAGGAACTCTGGGGGAAGAAACGCCTCCCTCCTCCTCTCCGCCATCAGCCACCCCGAACCTGCACCCTGCCTGCGCGCCCGGGGGAGCGTTACAAAAGCCACCACCGCAGCCCCGAAGCAGGGCGTGAGGAACAGCCGCGGCAAATTCTTCTTGGAAAACGGCTGGGCTGGGTGGGAGAGTGACCTCGGAAAGCGCCCGTTTTCGTTTCAAGCTCGCTCGACTCCCAGGGGCACAAACTGCACGTGGCTCAGGGTCTGTTCCCTTCCGCAGGCTGCATTTGGAATAGTTCCCCGTGCCGACAAACGTCCCACCCCTCCCTTCCCCACTTTGCAAACTCTGCAGGTTTGTTTTCTGCCTGGTTTGTTCTTGAGAAAAGCCCTGACAACTTTCGAGTTGCATCTTAGAAAAAAATCTCTCCATACTCTGAAATTCAGTCAGACAAAAATACCTCATTATCTGAGAAGGCTCCATCCATCATCCTCCCGTCCTTCCCCAGCGCATTTCATGCTCGAGTTGGAGACGTTAAGTGCAGAGAAATACAATGTCTGCTGAGAAAAATGTTCTCCTGTGCCCTGCTGATGTTCCAAAGGGGCGGGTCCGCTGTGCCCTTGGCGGGAACGGGCAGGACTTAGGGGGAGAGAGGGTAACAGCAGAGACTTGAGCAAGCGACACAGCTAACTGGTCTGGAGTGACGCCCCTCCGGCTGCAAGAGAACCAGCAACAACCACACGCACAGGACGAGCAGCGAGTGCCGACTGCCGCCGCTTTGGAGATTCGGCAGTCGGCGTGCCTGCAAGGTAACAACGCGGTCAGTGGAAGTGCCCAACCCGCAGTCGGGAGGAGTCCTTTGCTCCGACTGCAAATCCCGTATCTAAAAAGCGATTGAGAAAGTATCAGTTAGGTCTGATTGTTGGAGCCTAAGCTCCCCAAGAGGCAGGACAAGAGGATCTTCCTCCTGCTCGTGCTCCCCCGTCGGCCAACAAGCCGTCAGCCTGAAGCAGGAGAAGCTCAAGGGTAGAAGTTTGCTCTGTAGCTGCCTTTTCTACCCCAGGTTCAGGTCCAACAGCAGGTATGAAAAGTAAATGCCTGGACGCACTCCAGCACGTCAAGTCCCGAAGCCGCTAACTGCCGGGAGCCGCAAGGTTATGACGCACGACATGTTCTTCTGCTGGTACTCTTCTCTCAAGCCATCCGCTGCTGCCCACTGACAGAACTGACTGGACTACCGTGGGTCAAGTCCCCGTAGATAAACTTAATTACTTTTAGCAAGCTCAGAGTCTAATTCAGACCAGACCATAAAACCAAACCAGTCCGAAAGCCCTTTTCCTCCTCATCCCCGGTGCCTTCCGAGGAGGCTCTGCGCTAGCTCCATTCCAACAAACAGCTCCGGAACAAGCCAAGGGGACGCTAAGGGCAGAAACCTGGGCAAGGGATGCAACGGGAGCCTCCAGCGCATTAGCTGAAGATGGCACGCGTCCCGCGGGACTCCCGCACAACCGCGCTTCACGTGTGCTTTGCCTTCGTTGCGGGGGGAACCCTGTAAAGGCTGCAAACGAAAGCGGTCGAGACGAGATTTACTGGAGTGGGAACGGGAAAAACGCTGTGAAGTGTTTTGCTGGAAGAGTGGCCCCCCTCCTATCCCATCACGCGACCAGGATTTCAGAGGAATTTCTGCAGGGAAGCCTAAAGGTAAGCTGATGCCCTTTCAACCAAGGGGAAGAAACCCTGCAAGATTTCAATACCTCCGCCTAAGAGGGGAGATGGGATTTTTTTTTTTTTCTCCCCCTTAAGTATTTGATCAAGCCTCACAAAGGTGCTAATGTATTATTAAAGCTAATGGAGCTCTACAAGAAATGTTAATGGACATTAAGTTTGCATAAATGAATTACACATTAGCACAGTCGCAAGAAATCTAGTATCTGCCAATTTAGGTAGTATCTGATCATTTCTGTTTTCCTCATTACAGGAACATTACTTCCCGCTAGTTTCAGAGATATGAGAATTGTAACCAAGATGTTCATAATGAAACTACATAATGAAGCAGATGAAATAAATTAATACAAAACTTCCTCTTCCCCCTTTTAACGTCACGTTCTAGTCGAAGCGAACCTGTAAAAATAAGCACTTGGCATCACCCTAGCACCCCGGTTTTCTGGGGCACCCCAGCCTTGCTGCGAGGACTGTCTGACTTTGCTTTTGGGAGCCATTTTTTCTGAGTAGAGGCGCGCGCATGCAGCAGCTCCGTCGTCTCCACCGGCTGAAACTCAGGCGTGGCTGCATTTGGGGCCCCGGGTATTTTCAGGTCCCTGCTCATAAACCTCGTTAATGCCACATACAGTAGAGCAGCTCCTAAACAAAGTGAAATGCATTATTAACACCGAACATGGTAGGAGCATTACAGAAAATAGGTTGGCCTTAATCAGCGGTGTTACTGCAGATTCCACGTAACTGACGTTACTCTGATTTAGAAAACCAGTCGGTGCTGTATGTCCACAACGCACAATACTGAGTTTCTTTTGTGCAGCACCAGGTTGCTGCCAGTATGCTCCGACGGCGGCCAGTCGCTTTGATGGGGGAGTACAGAAACGCTTTTTGAAGAGGTAAGCAGGTTGCTAAAAGAAAAATACTCAGATTTAATCTGTTCTGACAACTGTAAAGCCCAGCCAGGAACCTTTGACGGTGGAAATTCTATGTACGGCAAGTTATTTCTTATGAGAATGAAGGTACGCCCTTGTCGTATCGCAGAAGGGCTACGAAAAGTCGTGGCTTAACCCATGAAGCGGTACTCAACGTTTTGATTTCAATTTTTAAATAACAGGATATAAACCCCATCTACGGTGTAATTTTATCACGCCGCGAACAGCTCCTGAACTCTTAAGCGAGCGCTTTAATACGCTGAAAGAATTAAAAGTTCTGCTACTCACACATGACTTCTAGGTAACGCTGTGTCTGCAAGTCTTTGACAGCGGGGTGATCCACCAAGCAGATGACAGGGACCCCGTCGTCCTCCCGTCCCACCTTCAGCACCAGCTGACTGGTCACCGTGTACATGTCGGACCACTGCTCCACTTCCGACTTGCCTGCCGGGGAGAGGAGCGAGAGAGAGAGAGCAGAGAGCGATCACGGGAGGGAGTACCTACTGCACCCGGCTCGCCTCCCGCCTTCCCGGGCCCAGGCGACACCTCCCCTTCGGATAACCGTCCCCCCTCTGCGGCCGCTGGGGTTTAGGGGAGGGGAGTAGGCGTGCGTGAAGTTAACGCACCTCTCCGCGAGGCTGCTGCCGATTCAAGTCCACGCTACGCTGCCGCAACGATTAACAATCCCCCAACGCCGTCCCCAAATCCCCAAACTCTTAAATCGATGAGCTACAAATCCCCTCCCGCCCCTGAATCAACAATTAGCTAGAAAAGTGATTAAACAGATTAACTTAATTAAAAGCAGTATCGATAGGCTGAAGCAGTTCCGCAGCGCTCCGTTTGAAGGAGAGAACGGCAGCGGTGGCTGGAGCAAAGCACGGTTCTGGACTGGCTGCCTGAAGGATGCCGTAACGCGCGGCACGGAAACAAGGAGGAAGAAAAGGCAAGACAGGAGAAAAAGGATTTTTCCACCAGCTCAGCAAATGCTTGCTGACAACGCACCTCCACTTGGTTTTCAAAGACCCTTCTCTGTGGCTTTTCATTTACGAATTCACAGTCAAAACGTTAAGAGTAACTTTTGTAGCCGAGGTCTTCCAAACAGAAAATATTTCTGTATAATACATTAAAGTGACGGGTAGCTGCAGAGGGTAGCTGCAGAAAGTGGCACCCCTTGATATTTAGAGGAAAGGCTTTCTGATCGGAGAAGCTACACCTTCCCGCTGTTCACAACCCGCAACCAAGGATTTCAGTTTCTCTACTCCTGTTTAAAAAAAAGATCCAAAGAATCAGCAGGGAGAGCTGGTACTGCAAGAAGCTACCGTTCAGCTCGGCGGTCTTCAAAGAGAAAGGAAAGCTGGGATTCAATTGCCAACTCAAGAAAGCTCAATCAAGAAGCCGGACAGGTCAAGCACGAAGGGTCAAATATGACTGCACCGCTGCCCGCCGGAATGGGGAAGGGACCCCAGAAAGGGATCGCTGGAAGATCTGCACACCACGTCGACGACAACCGGCGCTGGGAATCAGCGGGGCACCACTTTGCGGGGCAGCAGGTTTGCATTCCACCTCTCTCGGCATGCTCTCAGCACGCGTCCTACTCGGACGCTCGTAGGTGCTGTACTTAAAAGAGAGGATTTTATCCTGCCCTTGTAGGGGGGTGGATTTGAAGTAATGAGCCCGGACATCTGTAGAGAGCCCTTCAGTGTGCCGGACCGGGCGAAGCACAAAGGTGCTGTCAACCAAGCTCACATCTACATGCAGACTTAAACTAACAGCACGTCACGTGCAATCGGAGTCAGTGACTTGAATGTGCAACTACCGGGAGCAACCAGACTTCAGGGAGTAGGAGAAACCCATCTTATGTGAATATTCAGCTGAAGACAGAGAAAACGCTCTCTAAACAAGACGGCTAGACGTGAAGGCGAACTGAAAACATCTTTACAGCCCAGAGCGCAGGTGATCCTACTCATACCTAAAACAGGGCAGAGCGCTACATAAACCACCGCAGAAATAAATTCAACGCACAGCTTTGGGGCTCCTCAAGGCCACCCGCCGTTACAGAAAGACTCCAGGACCCCGCATTCGAGTCTGGCAGGTAGGCAGAGGACAAAATGGAGTTCAGCCCTCCTGTGTTAGGGAATAATCCGTCTGCCCACATATTCCTTTGTTCCTCAGCTGGTGCTTAAAGCAGCTCGTTCTGCTTCCCTCC